GGGCCGGCGGACATCCCTGCCGCAGCCGGGTGAAGCGGGGGCCTTGCTATTTTTAGCCCTCGAGAATGAAGGCCACACCTCGCCCCGCAATCCCTCTGCTCCTCTCGCAGTTTCAGGTGAGGGCCACGTCACCCTGGGCTTTTTATGGCGTTACTAACAGTGATCTGTGACTGCCGCGTCCTGCAAAATCGTTTTGTGATGTTTCCCAGCTCCTGCTTAGGCAGGTATCGACCACGTCTCTCCTGGGAGGACGTCCTCTTGCTCCTTTCCCCGGTTTTTACCTGTCTCCGCGTCCACACCGCACTGAAGTACACCCTTGACCTTGACCTTGCTGAGATTTAAAGGCAGTTGTGTCACACGGGGGCTGAGCAGTTTCCCAGGGATGGATTTAAATCCATCGGGATGGGCAGAGTATCAGCATCCTGAACGCTGCATCATCCTGCATACAGACGTGATGTCATCCCGACATCCCACGGCTGGGCTGTCATGAACGGCTGCGCCTCCATCACCGCCTCTTGGCATTTCCCGTAAGGGATGGGGATGACACAGCCACCGCCGTTGTTTGACACAGGTGGTGTTTGCAGTCACATCCCACCTAGGGATGACACAGCTCGGGTTGGAAATGCGGTCCCTTCCCAGCCGCATGCCCCCGCCTCGCTCGTATTGGCAGCAATCGAAATACAAAGTGAATTCTTCATCCCCAAAGGGTAAATATGCTACAAATGTGCTTATTGCTTAGTACACTCACAGATTAAATTGGGTTGGAAGCGAGCTGTGGTGGTCACCCGCTGCCAACCCCGCTCGAAGCAGGACCCCCGTCGGGCTCGGACCCCTTCGGCCGGGCTGCTCGGGGTGATGCTGGTGCTCAAATAAGCACTAAAGTATAATAAATGTGGCCAACTGCCTTTGCATCCTGCAGAAAACCTGGATCCCGGTACTCATCTCTAAGTACCATACATTTCGTTCAGTTCTCTCTTACGGCGTTTCGTCATAAACGAGAACAAAACCCCCAATTTAGTCGCTGAGCGGAAGAACTCTCCCAAACTCGGCTTCTGCTGTGGAAGAAAGCCATTGACACGCCGTTCAAAAGTAATTATTTTTATTTCAACTCTATAAAGTATACAACAGGCACTCGGCAATTACAGCTGCAGGGAAAATACAGAGCAAAACAAAAGCGGTTAAAGTTTATGAAAAAAAGTTCTTAAATCTACATCAAAAGAGTGCAACCGGCCGACGACCGGTGGATGACCGACATTCGTCCGACAAACAAAACCTCTTTCATGTAAGAAGAAAACCGGAGAAAACAAGAATATAAAACAAAGGGCTAGTGTAAAAACAGCGTAAACCGGGACTTGGGACGATAGGCAACTCCAAATGAAAATTTCCCCTTTTGCCGGTAAAGCCCTAAAACCGCCGAGGTCTCGGCGTTCCGGCTGGTTTACGCGGCCGGGGAGCTGCGGAGGATGAGGAGCTTCCACCTTTCCCGCTCAGCTCCGCGGGAGCGCCGAGGGCTCGCCTCCGCCCTGGGTTGCATACAGAAGGAGCGGAGAGAAAAGCGCGGATCCTGTTTTGTTGAGTGGTGCAAACGAGCTACGCTTTTGCGTCGGGGTTTCAGGTCCAAAAACGTAGGTCGGGTTGCACATCGAGTCGCTCGTCTTATTTTTTTTTTTTTTCTTTTTTTCCCCGGGTGGGAGATTTCTGAAGGGGTTTGTGTAAGACGGGAGGCTGGCGCTGGACGGCACGATGGGTTGAATCTGCACAGCTTAGCAAAACAGGAATACCTGTCTACGGACTGATAGGATGTCATATATTAATTTGACCCGCACATAACATTTATACATTTCACAGAAATGACTCTGTATCTCATCAACAGATACACAGCTCTGGTACATTGAACAGAAATAAGAGAACGACTTCATCATTTCTGTAATTCATCAATATTATATAATAAAGGCTTAGAAATCGGTAGCAGAAAGAACTGTAAAACGCAGCAAGCTAAGAAAGGACGACATTTTGAGGTGTGTTTGTCTTTGTCATGCAGCATAACACCAAATTTGTAATTTTTTTTCTTTTTGTTTTTAATAGGATGCCATGGATTTAAGGCACTTGCAACAATGCCAGATAGCTAGTCGTGTTCTAAAACTATGGGACAGATGAGTTAACAGTACAGTTGACATAAAGTTTAATAATACTGACAATTATGACATTAATTCAAGTCCACCTTGACCTAAAAACATTACATTACAAATAAGAAAATGAAGTAATAATGCCATGGAACACTGAAAGGAAAAGATATGTGTGTACCACAAAATATCAACACGAAAATACCTATTTACATAAATACTCGCTTGTGGTCCTGGTGTTAAATAAGAGTTTGCTATGGATAATGCAGCACTGTGAGAAGCTACGGATCGTCCGGGTTTTAACGACACCAATCTTAACACGCTCGTTTTAAATACGGGGGCCGGTTTCCCCTTACGTAAATACGCCGTCGTCCCATACATTACAGAAGGAGACAAAGAAGAAAGGACAGTAAGTGGAAACACAGAGGCAATCCGTTGTTGTGAATATATATATATATATATAATGCAACTCAAATATATTACTTATAAATGAAGGCATTTATCATACACATATGCTAAGTATGTTGTTTAAAGTATGCTTAGGAAAGGTGATGAAAGTCGAGTGAGGTGCTGGACTTCAAAACAAACTTCTATTCGGTACAGTGCACGCTGCAGGTATTAATCACCGTGCTCGGCACAAGGAAAAAGGGACAGGAAAAAGAAAAAAAAACTCACCAGCCCATTTTAAAACCATCTTCCCCTAACGGTTTCAAGTTGCTCCCCCCCCACCAACCCCCCCAAATCATTGTGATGCTTTTTCCTCCCGACAACCCCGTGACTGACAACTGCACCTCGGCTAGCGAGCATCGCCGTTTTGGGGGACAAACTCCTCTCTCCGTTCTTCTCTAGAAAGTTTCCAAACGCAACGAGTTTTCTCCTCCGTCGCCGCCGCATCGTCGAGTGAAAAAGCAGGGGGATGCGAGTGCAGAATTCGGCTGGCGGGCAGCAGCCTGTTTGCTAAGATGCCCGGTGATTATTTTAGCCCCAGGACTCAGCACTGGCTTTCGGTGTCTTCCAGCCCTCAGATAAAGACTGAAAAGGGAGCGTGCATTTGCCCTATACGAGTAATTCCCAGGAGACGTCGTTCCTGCCTTTTCCCTACGGTTTCGAAGGCAAACACAGTTTTAACGATTAATGAGGAGCGTAAATAACCTGCAATTACGGTGCCGACGGTGTTGCCTCACCCTTCGGAAAGTTAGGAAGGAAATTCAGCGACACAGACTGGTTTCAAAGGCGTCGCGATGACCAAGCTCTTTAGTTTGCTGGCAACCAGCAGACATTGTCAACGCCGTTAAACAAGGGGAAAAAACACTTTTTTAATATGCTCTATTAAGTCACTCTCATTAGGAACGTAGGAAAGAGCTGGGATTTAGCATTGGGGAGATAATTTTTTACCATGGAAACACGCATTTTCCATGTACTACAAAGGCCAAAGTCCTACGGATGACTTTTTAGCAAAAGTTGATCTTTTGACTTTCAGCGGATGCAACAGCTCTTGGCAGCTCTGAGACAAAATGGGGCAGAATCACCTAATTTTTGGGGGCAGGGTCTGTTCTAAAGACTGAAAGCCGATGTTCCTTGTTGGTACGATGGGATAAACTTTTAGACCCATGTATACGCAACGAACGGGCATCCACCACAGGATTCCTCTGTTACGTCCTATAAATCAGAAGAGACTGTACTTAAGTAAAGGAAAAGCAGTGGAAGGGAGGGAAAAGCGTACCCACGATCCTATTGTTTTCCCCAGCTCTTTTTTCCGACTCGGCTCTAGCCAGCCTCGTGCCTTAAACACGGTCACCAGGGACCTGGGACACTGGAGACACAAACACACCCAGTATCGGTTTTCCATTCCATTCCACTGACTGGAGTTCCTTCATCTGGTGAGGCATTAGGTTTCCATTTTTAGGGGCAATATTACAAACAGAGCCAGCAAACTGGCCCAGTACCACCTTCTATTTATTAATCAGCTTTCTGCTAAACACGGAAGAGATGCAGACATGGAGACGTAACGTCATCTAAGAGCGTGATGGAGAACGATGCCTCTTGCTACATATCTCTGAAATGGTGGTTGACTGAACAGGTGTATTCACAGATGAGGGATGTACGTAGCACCTATAAAGTACATCATGGGTCTTATGTTTTCCCTTTGGGTTCCAAAAAGGTAAATGTTAAGCTTAGTTTTATGCCTAATAGCTAATCGATAAGACCAGTGGGCTGCCGTCGCTTTATTACAGGACCATTATTTAAGCACTATTTTATATGTAAAATGGATTAATTTTATGATTTTTTTTTTCATGCAGTTATGTATTTGTACCAAGGGAAAGGAAAAAAAACCAAACCCCAAACATATTACAGTATGAGAGAAGTGACCCACATCTGCCTTAACAGGATCTAGAGCAGTTGTGCTTTTGTTTTACCAAGCAAACAAAAAAATAAAAAAAATATCCTCAGAAATAAAGAGGAAAGGTAACATTCAGTCTTGTCATGAATACTGCTTGGAAAGAAAAAGGACAAATTTTACCACTGCTTTGACGTGAACTCTTTGACCAGTACCGTTGTGGTCCTCCTTTGCTCCCAGGCTGGCCTACAGTAGAAGACCTACGGAGTTCGGAGGGTGGGAGTAGCCCAAATCCTGCACTGTATTTAGCTACAGCACTTAATAAATTACTATTGATCCTACTGATAAAGCCAGTACCTTGCAGCTAGAATTAAGTGCGTCTTACACTACGTATCTCTCGACTTTGATAATTAAGAGCGTAGCAAGATCGTCGCAGTGATAGAAAACGTATTTCTATACTGGTGAAAGGCTTTGCGTCAGGACCACCATGTCAACTGCTATTTTAAGTTCGAACATAAAACATGAAGAGCACTATTGTCATCTAAGCAATAAGTCCTAATGCCACTGTAGTTACTGTAGCAGCATCAATCAAGGCATCATGGTGACCCCGAGCACTAATCCTCCCCAATTCTTTCGGTTTCGCTGGCAGCCACGTCCCAGGAAGCTGTCTTCAGCAAGGCAGAAGCAGGTAAGAGAAATACATTAAAAATCTATGTCCCATCCTGAGTTGTCATCAGGGGGTGGTTCATCACTGTCCTCTGGGAAGCTGTCAAAATTGCTTGTGTCTGTTGGAGATGCAACCTGCAGAAAGAAGAGAGCGACAAGAAGGGGACGGTCATCAAAGCGGACCTCTGCAGACATTTCCTCTTGACCTCACAACGGGGAGCATTCAAGAGCATTCACTGCTAATGGCAGCTTACGTAAGAAAAGTTCTGCATTCCCCAGCTTTTTGCTGAATTCCAGGAGGACTTCCCACAGCAACCCTACTCGAATGATCCAGGCCCTGTAGGGTCTCTAGTTCAAGACCAACTCTCCTATTCATTGGTACAAGGTCATCAGGAAAGACTTGGAAAAGCTCTGGGCCTCCCCAAAGCCCAGGATTTGCATTTTATGGCTTCAGGATCCTGAATTTGAGGCTGTGAGCTGGGCCCTGCCACCTTCAAGTTTCTAGGGACCCTACCAGAGAAACTCATCTTCATAGAATGAAGGCCAGGTACGTTTCTTTTTTGGAAATAATGTCACTTAAAATCTACCCTAGCTAGGTAATTTCTGATTTTTTTGCTTTACGATGGTGACTGCAACTTTCTTACGATGAGACCTGCACACATTCAATGCAATTTAAAAAACCCGAAACAATAAAAAACCAGACCAGCAGCTCCTCCGGACCAAAATAATCAGTGTCTTACTAGAGCACATCCCTACTTAAAGCTGTACCCCAAGTAGCCAGCACAGGCTGGAGGGAACGGCACTTGCCATAGGACTGCTGGGTAGGAAACACTTGCTGTATTTTTTAGCTGTTTCACTCACACAGCTGGTGGAGAAGCCACGGTCGGAGCCCAGCCTACAGTCCAGGAGATGGATTTGACGCTGGATGCTGCTATAAGCCTTAGGAAAAGACTACTCGATCAACAAGAGCTCCAGCTTCAGCTCTCAATTTAATTTGCTGCCCAGCTGCATCAGCATTTTCCTGCTGCTGAAAACATCTTGGGGAAGAGTCTTGAATACCCAACTCATTTTGAAAAAAAAAAAACCCAACCTGTAAAAGCTTAGTGGCGTACTACAGAGTTAGGAGATGCTTCACTGAACACTGTAATTTAATTTCTTTTGAGTTACCCGGATCTGTTTACTTTGTTGGTGCTGGCATGGTTGGGTTGGAGAGCCTTCACCCTTTGGGTCCTCACCTTTGGGGTGCTCCACACTCACCCTCTTCCACAATCCCAGGGGCTGGAACACATCCCTCTTGTTTCTCTCAGCCCACCCCAGGTGAGCTCTCCCTCTGGGAGCAGAAGCATCGGGGACGTACGTACAAGATACCAGTGACCAAAGTAAACGAGATGCAGTTGGTGTGGCCATTCACGGAGGACGCGCACGAGCTGGAGCATCTTGCGAAAGCCTCTCGGCAGCGATGGACAGTGCGTAAGTGGATTGCACTGGGTGAAAGCATCTATGGAGCTCCTCGGGGCTCCTCTGCAGATGTCCTCTCTGGGAGCACCTAGCAGCACAGGCACGGTTTTTTCAGGTCTGGTTAGATGAGGTTTTAAGGGAAGTAAGTCCTGCTTTGGAAAATGGATTGCCTTTTGTGTTCCATCTGACAAAATAAAAAAGGCTGAGCATATCCAACATCTCAAATGTAGAGGGTTTCTTTTTCTGAGAAGAAAATTTGGGGGAAAAGGGTTGGGTGAATTGCTACTCTGTTGATTGACATTATGTGATGCTAATGCTGTCGCGTGTGATTCCCCACAGCTCTGAGGTGCGGGTCACCTACGTGGCCTGCAGTCCTTCACGGTCAGAGAAATGGGAGCAAATGTCCCTCTCAGTGCCCTCTCCACCCGAGAAGGGACACTCCAGATTTATCTCCTATCCATCCAAGAAGACAAAGTGCAAACATCAGTTATCAGCTTTCTGATTGCCTACCAATGTAAGGTCTTGAGATGAATTATGGCACAGAGATCAGCGTGTCGTTCTCAAAGGCAAGAGCTGTGATGCAAGACAGCACGTCTTTGGGAGAGTCAAGAAGTCAGAGCAGCTTTTCAGGACAGCTACCGTCACAAATTTAAGCGGTGGGATCAAGGCTCAGCTGCTCCCTGAAGCAATGTCCTAGGAGCAGGCTGTAAACTGAGACCTTTCCTAAAATCCCATGGCGTAAGAGCTAAGGAGCAGCTTTCGATTGCCTCACTGGTAGTATCACATAACGGCTGATAAGGGTTTAAGAGCTGGGGAAGGCCTTTTTTCTTAAAAAAAAAAAAAAAAAAAAAAAAAAAGCTAGTCTTTACGTTTAGCCATGCTGGCTCCTTTCCAGCTAACAAGGAGAGGTGCACTGATTGAAGGAAAACCTGATTTCTTCTCCCAGAGCTATGTATTTTAGGTCACTTTTCAGATATGGCCCTTACTGGCAGTTGGGACTTTTGCCAAAGCAACAGAAAAACTGGTGGAAAACAAGGCTGAGCGGGACACTGACAGCTTTGGGGTTGAGGAGGTTCACTAGTTAATGGAGGCAGGTTTTGGAGAGGACCTCAGGAGTTTGTCTAGAGAAGGTATTAGTCCTAGGAAAGAATGAGCTGGGTTGAATTGGGATTAGGGCGATGTACGGCTGTCAGCGTTGAGAAGTTGTCCTGAAAGAAGGGTTCCCCTGAAGAGAGAAGGATGCTTCTGTCTACTTCGGACAGCCTTGATGATGGTGTGCTGGCCAAAAGGGTGTCAGCAGATCACTCTCTTGGAAGCAATCACAGAGATGTTCCCTGGTAGGACATCACCAGCCGCATGAACACACAGCCTTGCCAATGCCAAGAAATAACACCAACGAAGTGAACTGGGTGCTCACACAACCCTTTTCTCCTACCGCGCTGGATCGAACTGAAAAAGCAAAGAAAACGCGATTTCCTGCACAACTGGCTGGAGGACGGTCTTCTTCCAGGCAACGCCAAAGGAGCAGAGACCATTTCGGGTGCCAGAGCAACATCCCAGCTTGGGGACATCAGGGAGCGATGCGTGCCCATAGAGAACAGATATTGCTAAGTCACTGCTGCCGGTTGTGCCATCTGTGGGTTAGACACGCAGGGTCCATAGGGATATTGGGTAAAAGCAGTACTGGAAACGCTCTTACTAAACTCAAAATCCACTAAACACAATTAGAAAAAACATATTGGGGCTACACTGACATCCTGCACAGGTAAACCAGGAACTGTAACTGGATGTAAAGGAGCAAACTTGACTTTATTGTCTGACTTGAGATGTGGTGAACAGTACTACTGACCGATTAATAGTCACTAAAAAGAAGCTTAACAGAAAAAACACAGGTTTGATTTATCAAACATTGATCCGCTCTTTGGGCATCCTGCTTTAGGTCAGATATTTGCAAAGTCCTGTTTTCTCCCACCGACCGCCAGTAACTTCTGCAGTCCATACGGCAAAAGCAGGGGATGCAAAACCCTCTTGCTCTTTCACAGCTGTTCCGAAAACTTTGGGATGGCAGATTTAGCCCCAGAGCCCCGTGCAGCCGTGCTCCAGGAGGTGCCGGACCACGGGCGGACGGAGCAACGGGGTGCAATTAAACACGATTGCTAATGTCATTCTCTCGGTGATCCCGCGGGAGAGGCACGGAGAGAAAGGGATTAAGTTGAAACAAGGAGGGGAGGCTGCAGAACAGAAGGGGCCAAGGTAATTTCTATCAGCTAATCCTGTTTGGTTTCTCTTTGCGGCGGGCTTTGTGGGTAAAGAGCTCACAAAGACATCAAAGGAAGAGCTTTGCTCCAAAGGAAAATGAGTCGCGCTGTCCCTCTGCGTCTGCTCCCAGTTAAACATAAACTAGGTGGTAACAGGGCTTTTCATGTAGGACATGGATGCAGAGGTTAAAAAAAAAAAAAAAGGGTGAAAAGCACAAAAGACAAGACAGAGGGAAAGGTTAATGCAAAAGAAAAGGGAGATGGCATACAAATCCCACTTGCGTCATCAAAAGAAATAAGAATAAAGGAGAAAGAAAGAAGACACATCTGAGAGATGGGGTGAAAGTGGCAACTCTCCACTGAAATGTGCAAAGTAGATGAAGAAACAAGTGGAGCAGGTGAGGAAGAGAAAAACGTGTAGTAGTGAGCGATCCTGCCTGCTGCAAAGAGCATTTCATCGCCATCATGCTCTCCCCAAACCGCCTGCCCCTGGAAGAGGCTGCCAGGAGACCGAGTGTAGCTGGAAATGTCTCTAACGTGACTTCTTCAAGCATCTTCAGAAGAAATAAAGCACATGCCGTTGCCGCTTAACTACAGTGTACTAGTGCCCGAAGCTCACAACGTTCGTGTAGAAGAAACTTTTTGGTCATGATGGAGAAAATAAGTAGGAAAACTTACACTTGGTATTATAGGAGGTGTCAGTGTCCCTTTTCGTAACCCTTCCCAGTTAAAGCCTTCAAACCATCTAGAAGGGAGGGAATAACAAAAGTTAGACGTACGGCAAAAATCTCTCTGTAGCACAAAATGAAATTTAAATTGCTTAAACAGTGGGTTTCAACTCCCGCAGTCACCTTCTTCAAATTGTCTGATTACCCTTAATAATTTTTCCTGTCATCTTTAGATATGTTTTTTGGGACTGAAAATGAACCGTGTGCAGCAACCCAGTGGCGATACCATGGCAAGTACAAATTACCAGTGCTTCGAAGAAAATTGTTCCTCACTGCAGGTGTCCTGGCAGCTGCTCTTGCCTTTCTATAGGGTCTGATCCCTCCCATATGAGACCCCTAATGTCCTTTCTTTGTACGAGATCGGGAGCTAAGGGCATGCACAGGGATGGTTTGGGCACCTTGGGTTTGCTCAAATTATGGCAGCTTAAGTGGGTGGATGAGCCCTGAGCTGAGCCTTCAACACGTCCACCCAAAATGTCCATCCAACCCATTTCTGTTGCTTTGAGGACGGGAGAAGCGAAGGAGCAGCATGGATGGATGAGATAACCTACTTCTGCAATGGGTCTCTAGCTTGTTCTGATTCCCCTCCAGCAGTGTGAAAACTTATGAGACATCACTTAACAACTCTCTCCCATCAAGACCAAAAGGCATGATGAATTAACACGACGGGTAGAGAGAAAGTGTGTTGGGCTGGGGGGGCAGGGGGAAGGGAAATCAAGGAAAACTTTAGAAAGTGATTCCTCAGACCAAAAAAAAAAAATAATAATCCAAGCAGGCAGTGGCCGAGTTGGACTGCTTCCAAATGCTCTTCCGCATGAGAGTAACTGAAGCGTAATGGTCAATGCGCAATGCATTTTGCTCATAGGCAAGGCTGGCATCTACACCAAAGCACTGGGGAAAAAAAGTCTGATGGAAAGTCAATTAGAGTCTAAAATACACTGGAAGGGAAAGGCCAAAGGAATTTAAGAAGAGTATTTTTTGCTGAAAACTGAAGGGTTTGAAATGCTTGCTTCTGTGGGTTGGGTCTGATGGATGGTGGAGAAGACACTTACTTGTGCTTTTGGATATCTTTCACTCCGTTTTTCAAGTTCCCTAATCTTTCTGATGGATTGTCCCTATAAAAGGAATAACAAATCGGTTACTTTCTTAATCCTTCTGAACAATTCATTTCTTTGCAAACAAGATGAAGGCGATTATATTTCATGTGCTTACCTGCATAGTTTTTTAATTAAATTAGCAGCATTTTTGGCAATCTTCTTTGGAAATTCAATCATGTCTATTCCCCTTAATATGATGTTATAGGTCTTCATGGGGTCTGGGCCTGAGAAAGGGGGACTTCAGAGGGGAGAGGAAGAAGATTAAAAGCCTGTCTTTAAAATAGCACTGAAGATTGATTAAAAAAAAAACAACAACAAAGCAAAACATATCACCCTACTGAACCGAGAAAAGGTAGACGACAACTAGCAATGCTTTGTTTCCTCTGCTCTTAACTGTTTCTCAGCCAAGGAGCTCTGATACTGTCAGTGGTGCTGGCTGGAGGGAAATACCAAAGAGTAAAGTCATGTTTTCTGCAGCAGCACACACAAAACCTCTCCCTTCCACGATGGCCCATGTCCCAACAGCCCGAGGACCGAGGGTCTGAGCAACGCTCGCCGGCTTATTCTCTCTTTGATGTTGTGACATGCTTTCAGTGGGGATTAATTAGGTTCCCATTGATTTAACAGAATAGGAGCCTGGGTTCAGCCCCGAAGGATAAGCAGGTTGAGGTGACGGATCCTTTTCCAGCTCGTGTATCCTGGGACTGAGTGACGGGGGATGAGGTGAGGAAGTGCTGTGATGCCGTTACTGCCAACGTGAGCGGTAATATGTACATCCAAAACTAAATAAGGGAAGGGATGGATATAGGGACTCAAGTCCCCACGGTGTCAGGTCTACCTCCTCCTTTTCAGACGCGCGGCAACCCATCACCTTCAACCTCCCTGGTTGAATTGCAAACCTTCTCCCCACCACCTTCAGCTCACTCTCAGTTATAGTACAGGGCCAAAAAAAAAGTTTTTGGGTGTTATTTCACAGCACTTCCTAAAAAGCCTGTTCATGTCTTGCCCTTTGAGAGGTCTGCACGGAAGCTGTGTTCTAAAGTGGAAGAACTAATTATTAAGTTCAGCAGCACAGTGCTGTGCCGCTATAGCACCCGCCAGCTCTGAACCTTCCCCTCGCCTAATCAGGGTGACAACGGCAGAAATATTTGGATCCATTTTGGCGCCGGCCCCGATGCCCATACCTGCCAGTCAGGAGTTCATACATTAAGATTCCCAGTGACCAGTAGTCTGCCGAAATGTCGTGACCTTTGTTCAGGATGATCTCGGGGGCTACATACTCCGGGGTTCCACAAAAAGTCCATGTTTTCTTTCCAAATCCTATTTTCTTTGCAAAGCCAAAATCGACCTGCGGAAAGGAGCAGAGTACCATCAGGGCAGAGCACGAGAGGGAATGTCAGCCATGTGCTCTGCTCCTCTTGAAGTGAAGCAAAGCAGAAAGGAGGTTTCCTCGTGGGAATATTCTCCTAACTAAAGCATCGCGGGTTGTTCCAGGACCAGGCAACCGCAGTGACCTTTTCGCTGATTTATCCTTCGTAATATAGAAGGAAGATTCTCGTGAGGGAAGAAGAACAAATGCCAATAGTGAGGGTTTCTTGGGAGACGTAACTTCGTATCATTCGCAGGCCAGGCTGATTTGTTTTGCTTTTGTTTTTTTTTTTAACTCCCAGCCTTTACTTCTACAAGCTTAACTATTTAGGCTAAATACCAACCAATTTGGTGTCTACCGAAAAGTTCCGATTTCTCTCCCAGTATCGAGAGCAAGGCAGTACAAGTGTCTTCCCAAATCTCCCAGTTTACTTGAGGCTGTTGACAACGCGCTGGCAGGCTCACAAACCTCAGCGTGCCCCTATAGCAGTGCCCCTACGGCACTGGCAAGCACGGAAAATCGGATTATACAGGGAACTGAAGCCGTCTTTCTGGTCCCAGGCAGAGCTCAGGTTAATAGGTTTGCTGTATTTTTAGCTCTACCCGCTCTGCCCTCCCCTGCCTGGGTGCTGGGCTGGCCCACAGCTGTGGTCTGTAGCACACTCTGCTGTCCCTTGATGGCTGCGAGATGCTCCTACACCTTCAACTGGTCAAAAGCAAAACGTCCTACACGGTCACAGCCCCACAAGGGACCTGGGACACTTCTTGTGCTATCGTGGATGTGTCCACGAAGATCAAAATGTCTAAGGAGCTGGGGGCTGGAGACGGGACCAGCACAAACCCCGGTTCAGATCCTCCTGGGGTAGGGAGAAGGACAAGTCCTGCACCTAAATCCTCCTCAACCATCCGACACCTCGCTGGACCCTCCAGCCTTAGCGAAATGCTGTAGAGGATAAACTCGGATGTCATTCATTAGGCTTAGCGTCACGATGACACACAATGGCTGCCACCAGACTGTAAAGGCCCATGATGGCGATGGTCTGACCTATGGCTCCCACCTGCTGACACTGCTCCCGAGTTTCCCTTCCCAAAGGCAGGAAAAAGTCCCAAAGCCAAGAGGCAGAGACCTTGGACCTCCCCGTGACGCTCAGGGAGGACATCAGCCCCTCTTGGACGCAGGATTTTTTAGGAGTGCATTGCTCCGTCCTTCACTGATGGCTTCCCAAGTGCCCACATCCTTCGGCACCTCCCACCAAGGGAAGTCCTGGTTTTCTTCTCCCCCTCTCCCCAGTCTCACCTGGCATTTGGGGTGTACGTTACACGCAGGGCACCTCTACAGTGCTTTTTGAAGCAAAAAAGTAATATGAGTGAACAAAGTAATACAGTGAAACCCATCAGTAACTCCCTAATTTGGGGAGTGGAGGTCTTGCCACACGCCGTTTGAGGAGATGGATCTTGCAGGGGACAGCACCGAGAAGGACCAGGACCTTCTGGGAAGAGCAGCTTGAGGCAGACCCTTACGCAGTCGTCCCAGAGGAGTTTGCAGAGATCAGTCAGGTGTGTTACTGGTGCTAAAACACCAGTGGCCCTTTCCAAGCAAGAAGCTGTGCTGGCCACACTTCAGCAACACAGTCCAGAGCAATTAGTAATAGTAATTTCTTGCCGTGAGAGGGTCAGGATTAATATTCCCGTTAAGAACACCTGTTTTTTATTGCTTACACTAAGGACCCGACACAGGAACAGTAGCTTGCAAAATCTACTTCACCGGTCGCCTATAAAGCCCACAGATGCAAGTCCTCCCCCTCTCTCCCCGGTATTTTAAGATACCTATTTTCAAGTTATTTTTGAGTCTTTCAGTAGCTCCAAAACAGCTGGATGGATTTCTTCTTCTCTAAACATTCCCACTTCAGGACCACAGATCTGAATTTCAAGCCAGAATTAATGTTTCCCAGCTCAGCTGTACCCTGAGCCTCAGTCTGCTGGAGGTTGGGAAAACGTCCCGGTGATGGGTGACGACACCCTTGCCCCGATCTCACCTCGGCATCAGAGACAAGACCTCGGGTTGGGTGGACTTTGCTTCTGATCCTCCACGGCTAATCCTGCGTTCTCCTCTCCCCCTAACATCAGTTGTCTGGTAGCAGCGGTGACTTTTTTTGGCAAACCAGATGTTGCAGGCACTCACCAGTTTGGCATAACCTCGATGATCCAGAATGAGGTTTTCTGGCTTGAGGTCCCTATAAATGATCCCTTTGGAATGCAAATAGGCAAAAGCTTCCACCACGCACGCTGTGTAAAACCTGGTCGTCGAATCCTCAAATGAACCTCTACATAAAATGAGAGAGGGAAAGGGGATAAAGCGATTAGATCTCTTCCCTTACTGGACTTTGCTCTACTGTTCAAATTTCTACACAGTTCAACAGAATCATTCTTAATACCTGGAAAGTGGTCGTTGGCCAACTTTATATATATTGATTCAACTCACCTTTTTATATAAAATTAATTGCATTTCAATTTTTGAAGCTAGCATCTTTGCCTTCAATCCATCTTCATATCAAACATTCACATCTAAAATACTTTTGGGTTTTATTTTATAGTTTCATCTCGTAGAAGTAAAATTTACAAGCATCTTCTAATTTTTATTATAATCCTTGACTTTTGGGTGATAAAGCTATTTTGAGCCGTGGATAACAAAAACTCCCGTACTAATGGTCATAACCCAGACAAAAGGCAGAAAAATCACAGTTGCCGGGACTTGAGGTGTTAATTGCAAATTCAGCATAAACTTCACTTTTGGATCCTCGTTTCAGCACCAGATTGCAACCAGTTTTCCGAAGCAAACCATATCCCCCGCGGGGAGCGCGCGGTGGGAGCTGGCTGAGCTTAGAACCGAGTCTAAGCTAGGTGGCAGCAGAACCACAATTTAAAGCCAAGAGAATTAAAGAAGAAATTATCAGGCTCTGACAAAGAGAAGGAAAAATACCACCCGCTAACTTTGCTACGATTCTCGTTTTAATGGTCTAGAGAAGGCAGGCTGTTAGGAAAAGGAAAAATTACCAAAAAATCCTTCTAGGTAATTAAAAAAGAATTTAATCTTTGCTTTCTGATCAATCTTTCTGACGCACTTCTTTCGCTTTCCAAATTTAATTAAATTATGTTCCAATTATGAGCCTATTACATAGTTACACGTGATTCACCGCATCGTTTCCTGCCCTGTGGGCGTATTTTGTGTACGTCCCACGTATTCCCGAGCAACTCACCTGCCACCTACCCACCCACAACCAAAACCAAACGCTGCGAGATCAAACCCTCCCAATAAGCAGGAAATACCAGGACCACATTTGCTCGTGCATTACAGCTCAGGATGTAATTACATGCTTTCCTAATTTTTTCCATGGCACTTCTGCGTCCCGACAGCGCAGTGCTCCTTGTAGGGTGTGGATTTGATGTATGATCCTGTTTCCCGCTTTGATGAGCGGCCCTCGTGTAATATGTGATACCGGGACTAAAAGCCCATGCAGAACTATTGATTTCCTCCTGCTCATCGCTATCATACCTGACTGTGTCATAAATATTAAGAAATAGTAATAGATATTATTTATCACATGTGACAGAGGTGGACGTTGCTATTCACAGTTACGGAGGGTGGGCAGCGAAGCAAACACTGAGATGAAAAAAGCAGGTCTTTCTCTGGGATGGGAAATTGTCATTTTTCAGATGACTCTGAAGAAGGGTGCATTTTTTTACCTTGAAAATGCACTTTCCCATGGATTTCATTCGCAACTGTGAACTCTCACTAACGCCACTGCTGCCTTAGGACCTCGGTTTATAAGTCCCGAGTCCAAAACGGCGACGATGGCAATGCCTAAAGGTGCCGTACTGGAAGGACCCTCTCTCCGGAG